TCACTACTAGATTGGACTCATAGTGATCTGCCTGTTCACAGCCTCCCAAGAGCTGGGATTACAGGCACACACCACCACATCTAGTTTCAATTGCCCTCTCAATGTGCCCCAGTGGTGGGGCTGGCACACCAGGCCGGGGGATTGAACCTCTGGCCCCTGCACCTAGCTGCAGGTGCTTTAATCTGCTGAACTATTTAGCAGGCCCTTGTTAGCAAAATGTAAAAGAAAAGGAATATACGGAAGGAATAGCAATGATATACTAATTCCACAAGGATATAGAAGTCAATATACATGTGAAGCTTTAAAAGGAAGCACGTCTAAGGGAAAAAAAGTTATAATTCAAATCATCTGAGTTCACTTTCAGGCCCTGCCACCTGCATTAACACTATGGATTTAAATAATATGAGTGGCTGGGTGTGGTGGCATACACCTATAATCCCAGTACTTGAGAGGCTGAGATAAGAGAATCACTGTGAGTTCAAGGCCAGCCTGGACTACACAGTGATTCCAGGCCTGAACTACTACATAACGAGAATCTATCTAAATAAAAACAACAACAAAAAACTAATTTCAATGACTTTTGGCTTTACCTACAGAATGAGTATAATATATAAACACATAAATTCAAAAAGTACTTTATAAATTATAAAGCACTCCTCGAAATAGTAGTAATATATTTTACTAAAGCACATAGTATATTTAAAAATTATCAAGAAAAAAGGAGTGATTCTATTTAAAGGATCATAGCTGGGACATGTTTTAAAATGTTGAAGCGAAAGAGGGAAAGAGGCTCCTGTCGTAGATATAAGGCACTCCCTCCAAGCATGTGTAATGCAAAATCTATAACAGAGACCAGTACATAACTAGATAACTCCCCCAAAAAGACTCTGTAGCAGTCTGTAGCCAGCCTAAGTCCCCCAAAAAAAGACAGTAGTAAAAAGAAACAGGTGTCTAGAAAAATTTAGGATAATGGTCTTGAGTTGGTGGCTCTACCAATAATAAAATAAGTTTGGGGTGAAAAGGATGCTGGAGAACAAGTCCAGGCAATGCACCAACATAAATATTAATGTCTATCAGGGGATTCTTGGATGCCATGATCTACATGGGCAACCAGTGGTAGTGAAACCATGGCAGAAGGGGGCTCCCACACAGGGTGGCTGTTCTAGTTACTCATATTACCTGATTCAACAGGAAAGAACCAAGCTTCATTTGTCTTCCTGAGGTTGTCTTTCTATGAACTGTCTTTGCCCAGTCCTGTCCTCATAGGCTGCACATTGCTAACCTTGCCCTCATTTGTAAAACTCTCCTTAGAGCATACTCCAAGTAAGGCATCCCTGGCAGCCAAGGATAACTATAGCTAATGATAATTGGAAACTGGCACTTGAATAGTAGGCATTCAGAAGATAGATATAAGTGAGCAGGGGAAAAGCACAGGGAAAACCAGTCCATGACATACTGTGATACAACCCACTGCTGTTGTCAAAATCCACATCTAAGAAACACACAGACAATTCTCTAAGACACAAACAGGCACCTATGACAAATTTTCTTATTCTCAGCTCCAAATTCTCTTCCCAAGAGTGGAAGTTCAGCTTATACACAGACTTCAGTATGACATACCTCAGAATCAGTAAAAAAGTTATAAAGGAGAACATCATCAAATTCCAAGCCTTTTGCTTCATAAACTGTTAGCACAAGTGCTAACCCCAGCTCTTCTGGAATTTTCTCCTTCGCCATTTCATTGGCAACTAGGATTACCTGAAAGAAAATAAAACAGCATCAAATTCTATAAAGAAAAACAATGGTAAAGTCTGTCTGTTTCATTAAAGAGAGATGTCTTTAGGGGCCGGGGAGGTAGCTCAGCAGTCTAAGCACCTGCCTAGGCAAGCGTAAGGACCTAGTTCGATTCCTGGTACCACATACAATGCCAGCCCTGCTGGGGAGACTGAAACAAGAGATCACTATGAGTCCTATTTGTGTAGTGAGATCCTATACCAAATACATAAAAAAAAATTTAAAAAGATGTCTTTAAAGAGTAATGGCCAGGAAGGACAGGGAAAATATTAAAACAACTAATTTACTCTTCTGTCCCATTCTGGGACAGAGGCTACTGAAACCTATCTTGTAGAATAAACACCTTCTCAAACCTATTTTTTTAACTGCAAATTGTCTTTCATTTCAAAAACATATAATCCCAAGAAGCTCACCTGGTGGGCACCAAATTCAATGGGCTGGGTTTTCCTTTTGTTTCCTCTTAGCAAAATTGCTAAGTCGCTTACACTACAAGACTCCAGAACAGTTGGTTTGGGACCATCAAAGAGGCCAGAATCTCTCGGAAGGCGATCAAAAGATTCTGGGAAATAGAACTGAAGTAAATCCACCACTCCAGATGCCAAATTGAGGATGCCTGAGATAAAACAGAAAATACATGTAAGATACTATAAAAGATGCCTAGTTTTTTGGTGTGGATTTTTTTTTTTTTTTTTTTTTTTTTTTTTGGTTGCTTTGTTTTGCGGGGATTTGTTTGTTTGGTTTTCCCCTGAAAAGTAGTACCAGCCCTGGCATTACTCTATAATTGCAAGCTTATTTCCAGTACCCATTTGATCACTACTGTGGCCCCCAAACCATGCTACTCTTGCTACATTAGATAAAAATTCCAGTGCTGAGAAGGTTTTGTAGGACCTCATTCCCAACTTATAGTCATATTAGAAAAAAATTACCTCCTAAAGAGGACTCAAGGAAGAAATGTAATTTAAACAATTAGAACTTTTAGAATTCTCATATAAGGAGATTGTATAGAATAACTGTGGTTTAAAAAATACTCTGTCTCCTTACAGTGGTGCTTAGAGCACTGGAAGCAATATTACCATGGTAGCAGGGGCACTGGATAGTAGCTGCAGGCAACAACCAAAGCCCCCATCATCCTTTTCCTAGGTTTATACCTAGCTGAGAAGAACACACTGAGAAAAACTGTCAAGAGTGAGAGGAGGGGCCAGTGAGATAGCTCAGCAGTCTAAAGTGCCTGCTTAGGCAAGCTTAGGCAGGCACAGGGGACCACAGTTCAATCCCTGGCACCACCTGCTGCACCAGCCCCACCCTCAGGGCAAGTTGAGCTGGCCAAAAAAAGAAAAGCAGGAGGAAAGATTTTCCAAGGAGCTTGCTTATCAGGTACTATCTCTTGTCTAAGCTCTGAAGTGACAATGACTAAACACCAACCATACACTAGTCACCTTCACAAAAATTATGCCATTTAATCTTCATAGCACTGCAGACAGATGAGACAGCTGAACTTTTGCAACTGGTTTGCCAAGGTATGAGAAGTTAAAAAATATCTCTAGGTGATGAGATCTGAAGCTAGGTTAATTACAGATTTTCCTGGGTCTCTCCACTTCTCTTGGGGACCATGTGCCCTTTGCCTTAGCAAATAGATTACAGTGGACCAGAGAAACACCATTAAATGGGAACATATCTCCCTTTCTACTACCAAATGGTAGAGGGAAATTTTACTCTACAATATTATAATTATTAAAAGTATACAATATGAAATAATCATGAGTATATATAAAAACTGCTGAATCTAAACAAATCAGCTGTTATGTGATTCCTTCTTCATTAAGAGCTAGCAAGAACCAAAGATTTATATTAATGTGAAAATCAGAAAAGGGCCCGAAAGTGTTTATTACACTGAAAGACAGAAATCTATGTGATAATTTTCAGGAAATTAGGAAAGCAATTTTCATACAGCCATATTCAAAGAATAAAAAGCAGTTCAACCATGAAAATGAATAAAATACAGATACATGCTATAACATGGGTAACCCTTCAAAATGTGGGAAGTAAAAGAATAGACACAACATACTATATACTGTGTCATTCCATATTTGTGCAATGTCCACAAGAGACAAATCCACTGAAAAAGAAAGGTGAGTTTTTTCCATGTAGTGGTAAGAAGAGGGCAATGAGGAGTGTATGACACGGTTGTGGAGTTTCTTGTGATGGTGATGAAAGTGTTCTGGAATTACTTAGTGATAATGATTACATATCCTTGGGAATATAGTGAAAAACACTAAATTGAACATTTCCAATCGGTATATTTTATTCTATGTGAATTTCAGTCTAAGGAACAAAAGATGAAAATATTCTCTAAACATACTATGCTTACCATATTCTGAATAAACATATGTAATAGATACATATGATAAGATCTGAAGGAGATAAAATATTTGACATAATGGGAAAAGAAACCACAACAGACAAAATTAACAAAGGATATGAAAGCAAAATTCATTAATAATTCTTATAAACCAATGAAAAAAACAACTTATTAAAGACTACACAAAGAATAACAGACAATTTGCAAAAGAATGAAAAATGATCAGGAGCCACATGAAGATATTAGAAAACTAAAAATTGAAAACACTAGGAAAGCAAAGCAAGAGTAAAAGAATCTGAGGATATAGCATAATCCAAAGGGATCTGCTCACGAAGTTTCAGTCTAGAATTCTGTCACTGAGAGAGAGAGAGAGAGAGAGAGAGAGAGAGAGAGAGAGAGAGAGAGAGGGAGGAACTTAATACCATCATTTATAACTGGGTAGTTATACCATGTTTGACAAAAATATATAGTTACATAAAAATATGTGTGGTATTATCCTACTAAATAGGATACAGCACTGATAATAATCCATACTGTTTGTGAATTGCCGTAAGACACACTTGAAGAATTTGTAAGACTCTATAAACCATAAAGGAAAGATTCTGGCTTTCTTTTTGTATTGCTTAAGTGCTTTCTGCCTTAGCCTTCTATGTACAATAGGAACAATGCCTAACTTACAGGGCTGTTGTGAGGATTAAGCAAAGTACTACTGTATTTGTAAACTGCTTAGCATCAAAGGGGCATAACTGAGATAAAAGCATCTGATTGTCTCCCATTACCTTCTACTCCTAGCTTTGTTTCCCTTTGAAAGAAAAGCTGTGTTAAAGATTAATAGCCTGTAACTGGCATATTCCTTTATATAGATTAAACAGGTACTTTCAAGGTACCTTGACAAAAACAATTTCTATGTTCCCCTGAAATGTTTTCATGTCATGGAAAATTCCTTAACATATAATTACTTAAAAGCCTATTTTTATGCAATCACATCTTCAGCCACCAATTTATGAATGAGTAGTGGCAAAAATCATAAGATCTCTTGTTCCTGAGTATATTTACTAACCAATTCCAAAATATAACTTTGATATCAGTTGGAAATGCTTAAAAAGAGCTAGCCTGCAGCTTTAGAAACAGCCCATGGTCATTACCCAAGCAACCTCCACCCTTAGTAGGTCACTCCCAGGCCTGGACTTACCAGAGTGAGACCTGTAGTTCTGATACAGCTGGTGGATCTTCTTTGGCTTCCGGACAACACACTGCTTATCTACAGTGCTTCTACTGGCATAGTGGAAGAGAGAACGCAGATCACTGAAGCGGAAGGCCACACCTTTCATGATGCTCTGTGCTGTGTCTCCAGTGAGGAACATAGCATTGGGATCATTGATGCATTTCATCAGCAGTGCTAGCTCTGCTTGGGTGAAGTCCTGAATCTCATCACCATAGAGCTCATGGATGGACCAGGGAAGCACCTTAAGCTTCAAAAGCCTCTGGGACAGGTTGTACAGAACATCCTCTTCATCAAAATAACCATTCTGGGACCTGATCTGCTGATACAGACAGAAGAGGCTGTAGATCTCACTCCGATCTTCCTTAAAATTGGGGGACCGTTTTCTCCCTAGTTTTTTATATGCTTCCTCAGTTAGGCTCCCATGCGGACAGCTGAGGGCCTCAAAAGAACCCTTCAGAAAAGATTTTATTTCTTTCCAAATCAGTGCAGGGTTGTAGGAGGTTTTTCCTTTGGTCATTTTGGGCCATATCTCATTGGTGAACACCTCAAATGTAACATATACCCGGGGATCACTGTCACCTGTACGTGTTTCTACAGCTTTATCCTCCTCACTATAGTCCCCATCAGCCTCCACCTCCTCTTCATCTTCTTGCCAATTGGAGATGGTCAGCTCTTCCTGTGTGGACCATCCTACAATGGTTCTTTTCAAGCTTCCATCTTCATTTCTTAAAAAAAATGGTTTGGGAAGAGAGGCATCAAGCAGGAGGAGCAACTGTTTGGAAGTAACAAACAGAGGAAAGTTCTCGTCTTTTAGGTCCTGGAGTTTGTGAACATTGGGTTCTAATGGTTTGTAGTGACAGGTGGCCTTGGTAGACTTAGAAAGCTCAATAAAATTTCTTTGCACCTCCTGGCACAAGACATGGTTCTTGGTCACAAAGATCTGATGCAAATGCTCCAGCTGATGAGGCTGTTCCAGCACACATCCCTCCGCCACCTGGCTGTCCCCCACTGGTTCCACATGGCCTCCCACTGGACAGGCTTCACTCTCCTGCTTCTCCTCTATGCTGTCTACTGTTTCTACTTCATTTGAACCTTTCTGTTCCTCATCTTCTTCCTCATCTCCCTCCCTAATGGCACCATCTTTTCTAGGTCCTAGTTCCAACCTTTTGTTTGGCCAGGTTTGTTTGGCAAGCAATGGGCTTCCTGCCTGTTCAGATTTTTCCCAGTAAATGTGGAATTTCTTCCACAACCTATACAAGCAACAAGTTGTCTTTCCAGTACCACTCCGCCCAATAAGGATGATAGGTTCCAGTGGTTTGGGGTTGAGGTCAATAACTGCATACTCAAGCTCACCCACTCGGAAGGGGTACTCCACTGTCACTGTCATATCATTGAGAATATTGAAGGCCATGTTGGTGCTGAAGCTGTGGAACTTCATGATGTTATACTCTGTCTCCACCGCACTGGCTGGGGGAAAATACTCAGGATCCTTATACTCCCTGCTCTTCTCTGCCTCTGTGTCCTCCACATAGCAGCGGGGTATACGTTTTTGGACTTTCTTGTTAGCTAACACTTGGCTTTTGTTGATACCCTTTAGCTTCTTGCGTAGAACACAAGACAAGCCCCGGTTATAGGCATTGCAGATGGCCATGATAGCATCTGACAGTTTGCAGTGATCTAAGACAATGTCCCAGATACGGATGATTTCTGTGTAGACCTTCCCTGATTTTTCCATAGAGTATGTGCTCCGCTCTGGAGCAATGATTTTCTCTGGGTTTTCACTGCATCGAGGGGAGAAATCAATGGCAAGCTCCCACAGCATCCTAGCTCCTTTGTCTAACTTAGCTTCAAAGAGCTGGATATTTCCTTTTAGGTGTTTTAATCGCTTCTGCAGGCCCTGGGTCCATTCCCCATTCCCTAGCTGCTGGATGGCAAGGATAGTTTTCTTCTTTATAACTTTAGTCATAACCTTACTGGACAACTTCTTCAACATTTCTGAAGTACACTCAATTTCCCAGGTCATATTATCAAAGTCCTGGAGGCAGGCCTCAATTTCCTGCATGCTCAAGCTATCCTGATCGTCATTACCTACCCTCCCTCTGTTACCAGCAGGAACAAGCTGTGAGGTGCCTGGACCTGCCTGCACATGTCCTTCCCCTGCCTCAGAGACAGCAGGACTGCTCCCACTACAGTCAGAGATCCCCATACTCAGCGTGTGTTGAAGTTTGTCTTTCTTTCCTTCCATGCCAGCTTCTTCTTCCAGAGGCTCAGAGCACTGAGGATAGTCCTCTGGGAAAGACATACCAAGTTCAACCTGCTGCATCAAAATTGTGATGTCTTGTACAAGGTGATCTCTCAGAGAGTGTGGCTTGGCGGCGCCAGGTCCCTGCCTGTTAACCTGGGCATCAGGGACTTTGGCTTCTTCAGAGAGGGTTCCCATAGTGATGCCACACGACAGTGACTTTAAGGAATCTTGGGACTTTAACTGAGATGTATGACCAGGAGCAGAAGACCTTGCGAATCTCCCCAGGTGAGCAGTAGGGTCTTGTCGGCCCTTCCGCCTGCTCTCCTCCAGAGCTTTGTTCCAGGTCACAAGGAGAGCATCATTCTTCTTAATACGATGCCGTACATCTTTGCCCTCTTTGTTCTTCAGGTTGAAGTTGATATTGAACCTCACCAGCAGGTCTATTAATTTTTTCATACGCTTCAGCATACCCTTCTGAAAGATGATGTGCATCAGTGTGTTCCCATTGCTGTCCTGAACATTTGGGTCAAGGTAGTAAAATTCAATTGGGTTGGACAAGAATAGATCCAGCAGGTGGCTGAGGAAGTTAAAACCAATGTCAGCTGAAAGACAAACAAAATCCTATGAGTGCTGAGATATTCTTTTCAGGATACCGGACCCTGGGTTTGACAGGTGCCAACCGAGGGCATCTAAAGTTCTGACAACCCCTAATTATCTGATACCCATCAAATAACCCAGTGATTCTCAACCAAGGGGGATTCATTCCCTACAGAAAATTTGGCAAAGTCTGAAGGCATTTTTCATTGTCAAAACTAGAAAGGTGCCACTGGCAGTTAGTAAGTAGAGGCTGAGAAGACTGCTAACTATTTTATAATATGCAGGATAGAACTTGACAACAAAGAATTATCTAACCTAAAATTCAGTAGTGCCTCCTGAAGTAACCTTATAATATTGCTTTACATCAGTACTCTTGAAAATGGTACAGTTTTTTTTTTTTTTTTTGCAGAACCGGGGATTGAACTCAGGCCCTTGCACTTACCAGGGAAGCACATATTCCACTGAGCCAACTCTCTATTTTTATTTTTTTTATTTTATTTATTTATTTTTTTGCAGAACCAGGGATTAAACTCAGGTCCTTGCGCTTGCCAGGGAAGCACTTATTCTACTGAGCCATCTCTCCAGCCCCCGAAAATAGTACAGATTAATGGAAAATATCTGACAGCTATTGACAATTGACTTTGAAATTTAAAAATCTTTAATGTACCCACCATGACTATTTACCATGATGCTCACTTCTTACCACTGCTATGAGGCAGGGATATATAGGGTAGCCTGGCTAAGAAATGGGTCTTTTTCAGAACACTGGTTTGCCCAAACAGAAAGATCAAAAAGTAGAGCATCAACTCTGATATCCAACTATCTCCTCAAGGAAAAGATTGCTCTATAAAACAAGGCTTACCATTGATATCTAGAAAAATGTGGAGTGCTGCATGCAAGGGAGTATCACCTTCCACGAGAGAAATATCATGGGGATCTGCACCCTTGGTCAAGAGAACAAAAGCCAATTCAAAGTCCTCATTTTTCAGGCACAGAAGAAGCGGCCTCTCCTTGCTCTCCTGGAGTCCTTCAGGCAAGGCTGGAAGAGGGGAGAAAAGAAGAAAACCCATAAGCTATATGTTTGGGAAGGGATACAGCATGGCTTACCCAATGTGGTTGGACTGCTTCTGCCATTTAGTCGCAAGGGAAGATCTGATACTGACCTCCGTGAGATCATCCTATTTCCACTCTTTCTGAGAGGCAAAGGCAGAACAGTACCCTCAAGCTGAAATCCCTGCGCCTTCAAGTGACATGTCCTTGGGTCTTGTCCCCTTATTTCTCCAGTCCCTCCTTTCCTTCTACCAGAGGATCATAGTTCCCATTAAGCACTGTCCTAGAATGATGCCAAAGCAGAACCATGGAAATATTCATATTTGCCTAATAACATATCTGACATACAGTTGGTGATCAGGACATGAACACATTTCCTATATTTTCTGCTTTTATTAAGTTTCTATCCTCAGTTGCTACCTTCCTTCACACCTCTTTATTGCCCTATATCACCTTTCTTTTAGCTCAGGCTCCCTGCCCTCACCTAAAAGCAGCCCCACCCACTATAGATCTGCAGCCTTCCTCTGCTTGCCTGCAGCCCCTGTGCAATTACTCTTGGGACTTGGTTCCTAGCCCTTGACCCTAGGAGATATTCTATAGTGCTTGCTGAATCAATCAATAAAAAGAGAATTTCATGAAAGCAATAGTGATTGAACAAATAAAGTTAACAAAGAAGGTATCTGAAGAAATAGTAAAAGATACTTCCTTTACTTCCTGAAAGCTGTGGGTAAAGCCAATACCTAAAGACTTGCACTCTGTATAATATGACACTTTTAGGGCTGAGGATTCAATGTGTTATTGCTCCCTATGAAGGGTATATCCTTTTACATAGCAAAGCAACCAGAAAACCACACAAGGGTGAGAGAAGTTTGGTGTTTCTAAATTATTTTTACAATAAAACCCAAACTAACAGAACAACTGCATACTCTGGACACACATTTAGTCTTATGTGATTGTTCTGAGAAAAACAACAAATGCTTCCACCCACCAGTTACTTGGCTATTGCTCTCAAATCCCAACCTACTGATTACAGAAGAATCCCACAAAAACTGACAAAGAGCCACACAACATAACATTCAGGGAAAAGTCTAACCAGAGGTTAGGTGGAGTTGGCCACTGTGGGCTAAACCAGAATGAAGAATCTTCTGCATATTTGATGTTCCTCCCAAAAAAAGAGAAAGACAACAGGGGAAACTGGAATTCACAAAATCCAGGGTTCCTACCAGGCAGCAATGGCAAATGTTTTAGAGTTTTCAATGTACAAAAGCGTACTGCGGCACATACACTATAGATTTACCATCACTTGCTACAGGGCAACTCACTTATGAGACAGTAACCTGGTCAATGTTCCAAAACAAGAAGATACAGGGGACAAAATGAAAGAGAATGTCATGGTATCTCCCAAATCAAGGAAAAGTCAGCCAACTGGGACAACTCTCCATTGTCTTTAATCTAAACATTCTCACCTCCACTATCTATTAGAAGGCCCAAGAGCTGTGTCTTCCGCTGGTCCCAGGTGCTGAGGTGGGGGATGACGGTACAGATGTCAAGGTCTGAGAGGTTGCAGTCCTTAAGGAAGTAGTCTCCAAATGGTGATTCCCCACGTATTTTGCGGGTTAGCAGAAGCAGCACTTCAGGCCATTTCTTTTTTTTCAGTAATAACTTGATGAAGGTGCTGGCACAGTCTTCATTAATCCCACAGAGCAGGTCAGGAGGAATTTCTTCCAAAAATAAGAATAAACCACTCTCCATAAAAGGTTCACATGATTTCTCTCTGTCCCCCAACTATAACCCAACACATATGCATAATAAACTTTGATTACAGGTCAATACATTTAAGCACTGGGTATACTATAAGCGAGTAATTAATTATTTTAGGCAAATTGTTTAACCATTGTGGATAAATTACTTAACCATCAGTGTAAACACTGACCACACAGGCTCTGGAGAAGATTAGAAATCAGCACAAACAACAGATTCAGGAAAAAGCATGACCTAAATTTTTCATACTAAAGAGTATGCCTTGTTTAAAAAACTAAGAAATATAAGGTGATACTACAGAATAAAAAGTCGAGAGTTTTAAGGTAATGGTGAGAGAATAGCTTAGCCCTCAATTCTTAGTTTTGCATCACAATAAATTTAAGTTTCCTTCCAATATTTGATGTCTGGAGACAGGATAATGGTGATCCCATTTCACAATGATGTGAATTTTAAGTGTGAAAAACTTTTAAAAACAGATCCTCAGTAAGTAGGTTGCCATAGTTAGCAAATAAAAACATAGGAAAATATTAAATTAAATTTGAATTTCAAATGAACAATTTTGGCATAACTCATGCAATATTTGGGATTTGCTTAAACTAAAAATAAAATTACTATTTATCTGAAATTCAAATTTCTACAGCATTCTGTTTTTGATCTGGCAATCCTACTAGAAAGTAAGGAGGAAAAATAGATGAAAAGAAAGCAAAGGTTACCTAAGTAACAGCAATTTGATCTGTATTTGCCAGTTTTTCCTTCCCATCTTCTTCTAAATTTTCTAAAATGAATATTCATTTTAATACTTATTAACTTAAAATAAGAAAAAATAAAAAATCCTTTAACAAGGATTGGAATAAAAGTGTAAAAGGCAAACATCTAAATTGGACATTTGAAACTCTGATTCCCCAGAATCTATTCACTCATCTTTGGGTAATACCAGACCTCCTCCCTTTAACATGCTCCTGAAGTATGAGCTAACATATAATTTAGGCCAGAGCCAATCAAAACTAACCTCCTGGCTACGGTTTTTGGTTCAGAGATGCACACTGTGATCAAATGTGAAGTTTAAGATTTTTATTGAAATCACTGTGAGAAAGAGAAGGGTCCACAAGTCTAGAAATGGTGGACAAGTCAGAGTTTAGAGATCTGGATTTTTTTCCCACCGATAGACTGAGGTAAAAGCTGATGAGAGAACAACTGAGTTAAAAACAGAAGATAATAGGTACATCCCTGCTGCCAACTTCAACATTTCTAGCATGAGTATCATTACTTTCTCTTGACAACTTAAGCCAATTTAAGTCTATCACTTGAAATAGAAACAGTTCTAAACATTCCACCCCATGAACAGTTAAGAATATAAAGAGGATAGGCTGGCGAGGTAGCTCAGTGGACTAAGCGCTTGCTTAGGTAAGCACAGGGACCCGGGTTCAATCCCTAGTACCACCTGGCATGCAGGCCCCACTCCAAGCTAGCCACTGAAACCAAACATGGTGGTACATGCCTGTAATCCCAGCACTGGGGAGACTAAGACAGGAGGATCACTACAAGTCTGAACTGTGTAGTGAGACCCTGTACCACATCAATAAATAAAATATTTTTTAAAAATTAGAAAGAAAAAAAGAGAAAGTAACCTTAACAGAGAAAGAGAGAGGAGCCCACAGAACACACACATAATTTCCCTCAGAAAAATAAAGCTCAGAAATGTAAATCGTAAGGCATAAGGAATATTGAAGAAGTATCATTTCCATCTTGTGGCCTCCTATGAGATTTTGACCAAACACCAATAAGCCAAGTGCTATTTTCACAACCCTAAGTATGTATAAATGAAGACAATCTTCACAGCTCAGATGATTTTAGGTCCAAAACATAACAATGTTCTCTAGATATGGTTTGCACAGAATGTCTGCATCTAACAGATCTCACTCATGTTGGCCCCATTTTAGAGTCTTGGGTATGCTCACACATATGCAAGAAAGAAAGGGTAATTTTAAACTCAATTCACCAGCAGCTCACCCTGACAGCTAAAAGGTATAACTATTTCATGAGCAGGGTATTAGAATAACTGTTTCACACCCATTATCTTATGAGGTTAGTTCCCCTGCTGAAGCAGGAGTGACAAAACTTAACCATAAAGAAGTAAATAACTTGTATAAGGTCATAGATCTGATAAGTAGCAAGCTAAGACTCAACAAAACTAGTTCACGCCTTAAATGTGATGATCTGCAACCTATGCTGAAAAACATTTTTTAGTTCCTTTGGCCACAAGTTCCTATACTCTCTATAAAATTGAGACAACTCCGCCCAGTGTTTCCAGAATCTTCCACAATTATCTGAAATTTGTCATCTAAAGTTCTTTTCAGGCAATTTCTCAATTCTCTCATAAGGAAAAAAATTAAAATTTAAAGATTAACATTCAATCAACATTCCTTAATAACCTGTATTACAGTAGTAGAGAAAATCTATAGGACAGCGAAGGACCTGTGGTATGTATAAACCTATTGTGTAGACAAATAATAACAATAGGATAAATGGAAAACTAGTAACAAAGGTTACCTCTGGAGATGGAAGTTTAGGGGCTCTTATCTGAAGAATGTTCTGTGTTGTCTGAATGTTTTACATATAGATGTATTATCTTTATTTTTAGAAATTTTTTTTCTCTTCCATGTTTTTTTTGTTTTGTTTTGTTTTTGGTAGGACAGTTTCAATAATTAACACATTGCATACTCTTTTCCTAGTGGTTATTTGCTGTACAAGATGTAGACATGACACCCTATTTACAAACACTATTAGAACAAATCCCTCTATTCATTAAGAGAATGTAACTATATATTATTCTAACCATTTTGAATACACAGATACAA